AAGACCAAAGAAGTATAAATATCAGTAATATTAATCGGCCATATAAAGATGACGAACTGATCCTTATCCCATAGAACAAAATTGGTTATCCACTTACATGCAATGAGGTAAAAATATAGACACTAACCAGTAATCCGGGTTGAGGCTTCAGAGTTTCAGTGTATTACAAAAAGAAAATCTCGAGTCTCTATTCACGGAGAAACTCCACCGTTAACCGTTGCTCAAAGTTTGTTGTTGAGTTCTTTCACGCCAAAAAATGAAGAAAAATGGGAGTGAGGAATTGAAAATAGCAAGAAATTAAAAGGAGATAAATACCCAAAACCTTTTAACTAATTAATCCTTCAATCAGTCATGCCTTTCTGGATTGCCAAATGAGAAATTTATGCCCTCCGTCAATGCTTGAGAGATATGTGCCGGACAAGAACTTGAGAGAGGAGATTTTTTCTTTATTTTTTTGGAGGGGAAAATGGGTCTTTACCATCCAAAACATTCCAAAGTTTAAAACATGTCATTTACATCTCAAACTTTTTAAAAACATATTACATTAGGATATTCATTAAATTTTTAATTCTAATTAATTAATTAGTGGTGGTACTTTATTCTGTTTCTTCTCCCCCAATTCTTTTAATCATTTAACACGTTCCACTAACTCCCACCTTATAAGAAAATAGCTAAACCTAATTTGGTCTTCACATCATCCATTCTTCCCTTGCTTAGAAAAAGAAAAAAAAAATCCAAGATTCACCTTCTAGATTGATAACAATCATGAGGTGTTTTGTATGTGTCCTAATTAGAAAGTAAACCCTATTTCATTTATTTTTTAAAATATGTAGCATCTTTATAAAAATTAGTGTTTTAATTGATGCACGGGCATGCAATTTTTTTGCTTGGCATGGACCAAATTTACCAAACGCAAGCATGAAACTTTTTTGACTAAAAAAAATGGGAAAAAAGAAACTGAATGAAACATCGCCGTTAATAACTTGAAAAAAATTAACAAATGTCCTCCTAATATTACATATTTTTGAAAAGTTTGGGATGAAAATGGTATGCTTTCAAACTTTGGGATGTTTTAGATAGTGTAGCTCAAACCTTGGGATGAAAAGGCTCATTCTCCCTTTTTTGGAGAGGAAAATAAGCTGATGTTTGGACAACGTTTTTTTTTAGTTTTTCATTTGGATTTGAGATGAGATTTAAAATGTAGTTTAGTGACAATTTTTGGAAAGTATTATAGTATAGTGACTATTTTTTGAAAATGGGATAGTATAGTGACCAGACTTAAAACTTTACTATAGTTTAGTGACCAAACTTAAAACTTTACAATAGTTTAGTGACCACCGCCACTAAACTTTACAATAATTCAGTGACCAAACTTAAAACTTTAAAATATTTAGTGGCTATCGATACTAAACTTTACAATAGTTTAAAAAGTAAATTAAATTAATTTTTGGATAGTGTATTGGAATTTGTATTTAACAGTTAAAATGAGACAAAAAGTAAAACGAAACCACAAACAAACAAAGCCTTAACTGATTGTGTCTAGGTTTCAAGTTTACGTGGCTTTACAAAAGGTCACGCAAAGACTTTGATTTCAGTTTAGGTTCTTCATGGAAATAGTTTGAAGAATAGGGTTATTTGAGGAAAAAAACTCCAAGATAGGCCATGGATTATTTTTTGGGCAATTTATTGGGTGCACCCGGGGGCACCATACTCCCTCTCCTATTTTTTGCACTACTAGTCCTTATTGTACTTTTTTTACTTTTTCTAATAATCTTCCTATTATTTGCAAGTTTAGTCCCTGTCACTTTTTTTTTCTCTCTTCCAAAAAAACATCTCTAATATTCAAACGATCATATCTCTCAATTCGTGAAGAATTAGAAAACATGTTACACATGAATTTTATTGTATTCGTCGAGATCTATCCAACAAGATCCATGTCGAATATTTTTTCCGAGTTTAAAAATGACTAAATTTCGATGGGCAGAATAAGATGGATATCTAGTTTAGAAAGATGGATAACCCAATTCATTTTAAATTGGTTATCTATTGTGTTTATCTTGATTATCCAACCAGTTTGAACTGGTTATCCAACTTGTTTGTAGTGGATATCCATCCATTTGGTTTGTATGCCTATCCAACTTGTTTGTAATGGATATCCCACTTGTTTGTACTGGATATCCATTTGATTTGTACTGGATATCCAACTCGTTTGTACTGGATATCCATCCATTTGGTTTTTCTTTTTATTATTATTTTTTTAAAAAAAAAAAATGGTTGTCCAACACGTTCGTATTGATTATCCAACTGTTCTGTATAGATTATCCGACCATTTTTTTCTCTACTCTTTGCGAAAATCCTTGTCCAGTTTTTTTGTACTGACTATCCAACCGTTTTGTATGTCTTATCCAATCGTTTTCACTGATTATCCTAACATAATTTCTTTTCTTTTTTTTTTCTTCTTTTGAGAAAAAATCTGTCCAATGTGTTCATACTGATTATCCATCCGACTTCTTGGTGATGGATGGTTATCTGACTTTTTTTTCCTTTGCTCTTTTAATGAAAATGATTGTCCGATTTTTTTGTACTAGTTATCCAACTAGCTTGTACTACTTATCCAATTATTTTCAATGATTATCCAAATTGTTTGTAATGCTTATCCAAATATTTTATTTTTTATTCTTTTCTTCTTTTTTTTTTGAAGATGAGTGAATGTAAAAAATATGACTGGATAACAAGTACAAACAAAATGGATAATCAGTCCGAACAGATTGGATAGATCTCGTCGAGCACTATAAAATTCATATATAATTCGTGTTCTAATTCTTTACGGATCAAGAAATATATGTAATACAAGAATATCAATCTAAACTAAGTTGGTTATCCATCTTCTTTTTTCTTTTTTTCTTTTTTGAAAAGTGAATGTAAAAAATATGATTGGATAAAACAAATAGGTAATCAGTCCAAACCGGTTGGATAATCAGTATGAACACAACGGATAATTATTTTTCAGTTTATTCATTTCTGCCTGTAAGATTTAAATGCATTTAAAGTTCAAAAGAAATATTCAACATTGTTCTTATCGGATAGATCTCGTTGAGCACTATAAATTTCATATATAATTCGTGTAAAATAAGTTAGGTATCCATCTTCTTAAACTGGATATCCAATGTGTTCAAAAGATTATCCAACTTCTTTGTGGTTTATGAAAATGATTGTCAAACTTTTTTGTACTGATTATCCAACGTGTTGCACTGATTATCCAATTATTTTCTATTGATTATTCAAATTGTTTGCAATGCTTATCCAATCATTTTTTCTTTCTTTCTTTTTTTTGGAAGAGTGAATGTCAAAAATATGATTGGATAACAAGTACAAACAAAATGGATAATCAGTCCAAACCGGTTGGATAATTAGTAGGAACACAACGGATAACCATTTTTCAAAGAAAAATGAAAAACACATTTATTCATTTTTGCCCGTAAAATTTAAATACATTTAAAGTTCAAAAAAAATATTCAACATGGATCTTATCGGATAGATTTCGTTGAGCACTATGAATTTCATGTATGATTCGTATTCTAATTATTCATGGATCAAGAGATAAATGCAATGCAAGAATCTTAATCTAAACTAAACTGGTTATCCATCTTTCTAAACTAGATATCCATCTTATTATGTTCATCAAAATTTAGTCATTTTTAAACTCGAAAAAATATTCGACATGGATCTTGTTGGATAGATCTCGACGAATACAATAAAATTCATATGTAACACGTTTTCTAATTCTTCACGGATTGAGAGATATGGTCATTTAAAGATTAGAGATCTTTTTTTGGAAGAGAGAAAAAAAAAATCAAAGGGACTAAACCTGTAAATTATAGGATATTATTTAGAAAAGTGGAAAAAAGTATAATAAGGACTAATAGTGTAAAAAATAGGAGGGAGAGTATGGTGCTCCCGGGTATACTGGATAGAGACTATTTTTTGTCCATATTTTCCACTACTCGGAAAGTTATATTTAAGTGGCACAGAACGATAGCAGAATCTTAACATAATAATCCATGTCTCAAGTTTTGAGCATGCGCCATTCCCGCAAAATCTTAACATAGTAATCCAAATCTCAAGTGCGGGCTCTGGAGAAAAGCATTCTAGGAGTTTTTTCACAAAGGTAGAAGAAGGGTTTTTCTTTGTCTTTCTTTTTTTCACGCTAAATATGAAATAGATTTAAGAGAATAAGGGGTATTTACGTCAAAGCATAAACTGTTTAGTTATATGATTTTGGGAAAGTAATTTACTGCCCTTGATCCATATTATATCAAATTTATACCTTTTTATTAATTAAAACCTCTCTACTACCCTCAATCCAAATTTTCCCTTTTAGTTTGATTACTAGATATGACCCGTGAAATCATGGGCTTCCCAATTTCTTTTTTTGTGTGTCGGATTTTTTGCATTGATATAAGAAATGTATTAGAATTATAATGAAATGTAGAAAGAAAGAAAATTATAAACTTGACTAAGAATTATGAATGTACATGAATTAATGATTAATATTTGATAGCATACATTATACTGGTTAATTAAAAAAAATTTATCTGTGAATTCGTTCACATTGACATAAAGGATTGTTGTATAAGATTGTAGAAAATACTGCAAGTTGAAAATAAACAATAGTCATTAGAAATTGTTTGACGATCCCCATCGCAATAATAATTAAAATTACAAATATTAAAAAGAAAAAGGAATAAAACACAACAACACCATGATGCTAATCAATCATAAAACATGTACTAATGCACATGATTTATTACAAAGCTGCCATCGGAACTAAAAAGGGATCAAACTCTTATTGAAAAAACCTAATGCTGGCATAGAACCGCTATGTATAGGGAAATGCCTGATTCGTAATGTACCTCCATTTTCTGTTGGTTTGTACAAATAGTAATGAAAACGATCGGGTCCTGATAGAATGAATTCGCCTACGAAAGAAGATTTTGGATTTAAGATGAGGTTCCAATCTCGACGCCACGGATGATCAAAATGTTGACGAAATGGACTATATCGGATTGTGAATGGAAACTGTAAACTAACTTCATATATTTTCTCCAATATCCATCACCGTTTGCACGGTGGTGAAAAGCCCATAAATGGAACTTCCGAGAAACGAAGACTAATTCTTCATCCGTCAGACATAGTGTACCCTGCATATTCAAAATTTTGAAACTTGACTTAGGCAACTTATCACACACATTCCAGAATGGATCGTTCGGACATGTAATGATTTTAAATGTTTCACTGTTGATATCAAATGAAACCAGAAGCTGATTTCGAGACTGTTGGCCGTTGTGAACAAATTTATATTGGCTAGTGCACGAGATGACCAACAAATAATCCTTCTGGGAGGACATTTCGTGGACATACCGTGTCAACACGACTCCAAGAGCAATACCCGACTTGTTCATCCTCAACACAAGCTATTCCTGGTTGCCAAGAAAGCGTAACAGCAACCATACAATCTTCTTGCTGTTGTTGTAAGCATGTAATGTAGTACCTTTCAAGTTCAGCTGTTGTTGTAAACCTTGAACCTCCATTCCTGCAAACGGTCCGATTAATTCACGTACTTGTTTTGTAATCGGATTCAACAACTTTATCTTGTCATTCAGCTTGAAGCATAGGATATCACAAGTAATGGGAAGTACCCGAAGGACTTTCTTATTGTGAAGAGATAGCTTAACTGTCTGGGATAGTACGTTGACCACATCATCATCAATGTAAACTTCATTGAATTTCATCAATTTCGCTACTCTGCTATTCACACTCATTTTCTGAGAAACAACTAACAAAGATTTGTATATCACACAGAATTTCCTTCCACCTTTTATTAACACATCGAGATACACCTACAGTTTTGCAATCAAATCTGGACATGATATCCATGTAGAGGTCAATTGGAAGCATGTCAAAGTGATCGACATAAGATTCGAAGTTTTCACTTTGATGGAAATGAGACATTTTACATATGAGGGGATTGAAGACAATATCACAGGTAAGAATTTGGAAGGTCGGGTTTGGAATGGCGTATATAGAGTGAGTAGAGCTATTTTCTGAATATATGAGAGGGACCAATGTGTTACTATATATACTAACATGAATAGGGGTACAATGTATGAGGAATAGAAATAAACACAAACAATTTCAAGTAATAGTAAACACCATGATAGCCATGAAGTGATTTTGTTAGTTGAACAGTTTGCAAACAAACTTTGTTAGCCAAGGATAAATAAAAATCGATTACTTTAGTGCTCCCATAAAACAAAGGAAACATCTCATGTTCCCAAAAAAATTTATCAAGCTTCAAAATTATTGGCCCACATTTTAGTAGTACTCCTTTTCTTGTGTAAGAATGTAGTAGTGCCGAATTTTGGTTATCCATTTATAATGGATAAACTATGTCAAACAAAGACTGCTTCATCATCCACACCACCATTACTGTAACCATTAAAATCATAGAGAGACAGTTGAGACCAATACTATATGGTATGAATTTTTCATGGTTACATAATTTATGTTAATTGAAGATGGCTTCAATTATGATGTAGTTTAATTTTGTAACTTATTTTACGTATGATGTGTTAACTTATATAATTGCCATGATCTTTTGTTTGCATCGAGGTTAAAAGAGCCTTGCTTCCATCGCTTTGATATCATCATTCTGCACGGTTGTCATTTGCATGACTCGGAGTACGGTTTAAAATGTATTTTCTTTTTCTTTTGATGCAGGTTTTACCGCCCTTACACTCTCTCCGAAGACATGCAAACCATCATTCTGCACGGTGTTTCAATTGCAGGACTTGGAGAACGTTTCCATACTTTACTTTTATCCTTCTTTTTATGCATAGGGTATCCTTCTTTTTATGCATAGGGTATCTACTATGACAATCATAACCTAGTAAGCTATGTCTCTGGTAATCAGTTACCTGGAGATTTTCGAATAAGATTTCACAGCTCTTCATTTTGAAACACGGCGTTCTCAAGCTAGGGCCAGTGAATTCCTCTTTACCTGCTCTGAACATATATTCATGCAGATAATTTAAAATTGATTCGGTAAGATCTGCAACTCTTTTGTTGGGAGGTTTGTGATAGTGCCAATCAAGTATGAATTCTTCTTTATGGAGCATTCGTTCCGTAGTAAGTAGGAGTGATATTATAAGGAAGAATCCATCAAAGTGGGGTTAAGGTTCTTTTTGTTTTAGGTAAAGTTATTTTTAACATTTATCTCAATATATGAAATCATTTAAGTAATAAGTTGTTTCATATATTTGTAACGAAATTAGTACCTAATCTGGCAAAAAAAAACTCAAAACAATTTATTTTTGTTTGTTTATAAGAAATTCAAACTATAATATCTAATTTTAATTTGAATTGTTGTTCAAGTGTTGAAGTAAGAAATAATATAGAAACAATTTTAAGAAATCTTGGTTTCATTTGGTTTGCATGTTTTAATTACACAAAAATTTTCTTTACATCAATTACGATGAGGGAATAAAACATAAATAAATGAATAAATTGAAGGTATTTTGTATATGTACATTTCTTAAATTTATGGTGTTTGTTTTTATGTACATATGTTATAATTTTTACCCATATACCTTCATCGGGAGTGTTGTTGAACAATGTCAAGGGACCTACCTCATATGAAGAAATACGCACAGTGAATGGAAAATTATGCATTTCATTTAAGGAAGCTTGCTATGAGCTTGGTTAAATGGATGATGATAGGGAGTATGTTGCTGCAATAGAGGAAGCAAGTTGTTGGGATTCTGGCCACTATTTACGCTCTCTATTTTCGATGCTCTTAATGTCAGAAAGCTTGACGAAACCTGAATCTGTCTGGGATCAAATATGGGAGTTATTAAGTGAGGGAATCCTCTTACACCTTTGTGGTTTGTATGACAATCCAGGTACGTAATCATACTTTAAAGTTTTATTTTTAAAGTTTTTATTCATTAACTACATTTAATGCGCGTGTTTTTTTTGGTCGTGAATGATATTGTTGATTGTTTGTTTTTTTTCAATTCTTTTGTTAACGTGGGGTGTATGTTGCTTGTATTTTGTTTTTGTAGATTTTTATCTAACAGAAGAGGAGTTGAAAAGGCATACGTTGCTTGAGATAGAAAAAATGATGCGTATCAATGGTAGCAGTCTCAGAATGTTTCCAAAAATCCCTTATCCAGACTCAAATACCAGTTCATGCATTGATAATGCATTGATAAATGATGAGGTAAACTATGACACTGAGTCATTGCAACATGAACATTACAAACTATATCATAGCTTGACTGATGAACAGAGAAGTGTGTATAAAGAAATACTGTCGGCTGTGAATAATAACCAAGGTGGTGTTTTCTTCCTGTATGGTTATGGAGGTACTGGGAAGACGTATATCTAGAGGACATTATGTTCATCATTACGAAGTAAAGGTGAAATTGTCTTACCAGTTGCCTCCAGTGGAATTGCTTCATTACTACTTCCTCGGGGAAGGACAACACACTCAAGGTTTGGAATCCCTATTTCTATCAATGAGGATTCAGTTTGTGATATTACTCCAAATAGTGACCTGGCTGCTTTGATACGAAGACGAAGCTCATAATTTGGGATGAAGCTCCGATGATGCACAGACACTGTTTTAAGGCTCTTGATAGAACCCTGAAAGAGATTCTATGATCATCCAGTGAATGCAGCTCGATGCAACCATTTGGAGGAAAGGTTATAGTTTTTGGAGGTGATTTCCACCAGATCCTTCCTGTCATACCCAAAGGAAGCAGGGCTGATATTGTTAATGCCTCTCTTAATTCATCAAGGTTGTAGAATCATGTCAAGGTGTTGAAGTTGACAGTGAACATGAGGCTTCAGGTGGGTAATGTCCACAATAGCAACAATGAGTTAAAATCATTTTCAGAATGGATTCTAAAGGTCGGAGATGGCGCAGTTGGATGCTCTCAACCCGATAGAAGTAATGCAGTTGAAGTTCCAGATGACCTTTTGATAAAGGATGTTACAAATCCTTTAGAAGCGATTGTTGATGTTGTGTACTTTGGTTTCCTTCAATGTTTAGGTGATCCCCCATATTTTGAAGAAAGAGCAATACTTGCTCCAACGCATGATATTGTTGACATTGTGAATGATTATTTAGTCGATCAGATACCAGGAGATGAACGTGTTTATCTCAGTTTTGATAGCATATGTCTTTCGAATAGTAGTTCCCGTGAGTATGAATAGTTATTCACCCCCGAGATGCTGAATAATATTAAATTTCTGGTTTACCAAATCGCTGCATCAGGCATGTTGACCAACGAGGTGGCTTGTGTAATGGGACTAGATTGCAAATTAAAAGAATGGGTGATCATGTGATTGAAGGACAGATTATATCTGGGAGTAACATCGGTAAGATAGTATACATTCCTCAAATGGCACCCCTTCAGATCATACTCTTCCTTTCAAGCTGAAAAGAAGACAGTTTCCCATTATTGTGTCTTTCGCAATGACCATTAACAAGAGCCAGGGCCAAACACTGTCACAAGTTGGAATATTTTTGCAGCGGCCTGTTTTCACTCATGGACAATTGTATGTAGCATTATCTCGAGTGAAATCGAAAAATGGACTCAAAGTGCTTGTATGTGATAATGTTAAATAAACAGCCAAGACTGCAAGGAATGTTGTATATCATGAAGTTTTGGACAATGTGTACTAACAGTGTTATAACAGTTGTCCTTTAAGTACAATGTGATCGACTTTTCTTGAGTGGAAATGATTATGAAGTTGTTTTTTTTTGTTCATGTAATTAGTCGCTTCAAAATTAATGCATTGTTCATTTTCATTATGCATTCGTCTTCCTAAATCTATAAATAAGACTATATCAATCACCATTGTTTACTTAGGACCATAATATTGGTCACCACATTGAACACTTTTTTCTCTGCCATAATGTGTCACATTTTGTATTATTAATTTGTAATATTCCATATTAAATTCTCTTTTTTATGTTTCTGCTAACAAATGCCATTTCTAGCTTCACATAAGCCATCCTATATAATAAAAAACTATTTAGGAAGAATTTTTAAATAGGATGTGTGATAACTTGTTGGAAAAATCTTTTTAGAGTAGTTGTTATTGGAGGAAGTCCAACTTTATCTAAACAAGGGAACACTTTCTGCTCCCCATGTAGCGTACTAAATGATTACTATATGTTTGATAGGGTAAAACACGCAATTACATGATATACGGTGTTACTCCTATTTCATAAAGTTTTTCTTAAACGTGCCTGGCATAAATGCACACATTTGAGTTATTGCTCTACTGGAATAACGTGTACCAGTATTACATTGTTTGAAGGATGCGTCATTGTATTCGGAAATTAACATGTATTATACAATATTTGTTGATGTCATTTACAACGGATAGACACAGAAAGAAAATTGCATGCACCATTATCATATAATATATACTAAAAATATCGATCATTAACCGATTTACATATCTACTTATTAGTTGTATTCAAAAGTTTGTTCATGTGTTCATTTTTAATTTAATACATTCCTTTCCTTTATTTTTATGGTTCAATAATACCTTCCTCATATCAATGCAAACTGCAGTAAAAAAAAATATGAAAAGGAAAAGATAATTTTAGAGTCCGTCATTCAAAAGCTTGCATGGAATATGGAAATTTGTATGACCGGCCTTGCTGCAACCAATAGTCGATGTATAAATTCATGCGGCAATGATTCCATTGCCTAACCCTATGCAGCCATCAAGAAATCTATTG